AAGATTATAAACACACATTTAATTGGCAGAGCTAAGTAGGTAAGAGTGGACTGGACAGGAATGTAACATGAACTGCTACAAGTTCGACTGATCAATTTATCACATTATTTATCTTTTGGTTTGTGCTATAAAGGTCTAAAATCAACTAGTCTCTTTCCGTTTGTTTACAATTTGTTATTTCAATGAGCAACCAAGTTCCGGCTTTAATCTCATTATTTCTTTTATCAGTCCCTTTCTTTTCAAAGTTGGTACTTTGAAATCGCCAGAAACTACTAATTTTCACCTGTCAGTTAAGGTAATTAAGAAAACTCGGAAAATTAGTTGCGTTTTCTTTCGCTGGTAAACAACCACATTAGTAAACTTTGCAAACATGATCAAACAAAGACTAAAGCACTGTATTGTGGGTTTAGATGTGTTCATCAACTACCCTCATAGTTATTGCAACTGGGACATCTCTCCATCCGATCTCTAACAAACACAGGCCTCGCAAGACATTTACTGTAGCCACATGAAATCACTCACCCGGACGGTTTTAAAGGCTTTAGTGCTTAGGATCCCTAATGCTACACTCTTGTATAATCTTCATTTACTTGCCTCTTTGAATACTGCCTTCTGACAGTTCCACTTTCGTCTCTCAAGCTCTATTTGCTACATGCATCCTCATGAACTTCTAATCCCTAAATCGAGGATGGTCCACCAGTCTGGACCGAGAGATACATTTTACTCCTCAATAACGTGATTGGTAAAGTTTCCGAACTCAGCTGAAATTCAAACCTCAGAATAGTGCCTAAAACATGACCGGACAAAATATGGCGAAAGTTAGAAGAATGGTGATACATAAGATCTATTATCTCATCTAGCTGTGCATAAAACAACAGCACTTAACCTCTGCAAACTACCTCATCCTTCATATGCTAACCCAACTAGTCCTTTGTGCTTGGTAAACAGCCACTTCAGAAGCATCGAGGACCTGACTAGTAGGGGAATTGGAATTTTTGAGACAAAGGAAGTCACCAGAACCTGACAAAATTCACTTTAGTATTTTTGATACGATACGTGAAAATCAGCTGGATACTGGCATATACCATGTTTGTGAACTCGGCATAACCCAGTCAACCGGAAAAGTGTAAGCACTCTATTACATTGTAGCGGTAAATAAATCCCCAAAATCAATAGCTCTGTTATTCCTCGACATTTGATGCTGACCATATTAGTTTTAATGGTCTCACCTAGCTCACGGCGCTCGGTCACGCATTCGCGCCAGATCACAGGTGGGAATGCCGTGCTCAACTTCTCATGCTACAGCTAAGCAGTTTAGATCAGTCACTTCTCAATATATCAGTGGCCACAAAGTCTTCCCCCTTGAGATATGGAACGGGTTACTTCATCCTGCACCATCCTTAAAGCCTTGGATATCCCAAAGGGACATAAGGTTGCGATTTCTAGAAGCTCATACCTTCAATGGACCTATCCTTGACCATCAGTCGCACATTCGCAACGCAACTCTCATGAAGCGCGCCAACTGTAGTACTGATTAAAACCATCTACATTCATGTCTTATAAATTATCAACCCAGCTATGTAATTTAATACAGTGTATATTGTATCATTTGTATCAATTTGATCATGCCTGTAAACTGGCATGCCTCATGTAACAAACTGTTATTTGAGGATAAATTATTATTATTATTATTATTATTATTATTATTATTATTATTATTATCATTAAATATATGTTCGAGCCTCCTCACTTCTGACTTTTGATTTCGCTGGGTGGGCACGATCCAATTATGCAATGTGTTGCTGGGTAAAGTGTTGTCAAATTACAAATACGTGTGGCATCCTCAATGTCTTTAATATTCAAGCTAGATGACATTAAAGGCCCAAGCTGAGAATAAAAAATTATATTGTTCCCAAACATGTTCAGGGCTGGCTAAGAATCAGATGAAGGAGTGAATGGAGAAATAATGATTTGAATGAAGTTTAATATGGGTCTAGAAAGGTATATATTGAGCTTTCACTGTTCTCACAGCACAGGAAATCCAGGAAACATACTACGAACAGAAAGTAACAGTTCATGTAGTATTTCTTGCATTTACATAAGCAATTGACGCCATTGTAACGAAGATTTTGGATATGGGCTTCATTGTCCTATTTTACATATAGTTCAGTTACTACTTGAAGAACCAAAGGCTTCTTATCATGATAGACAAAGAGCACAAAAACTCGCGTGTCTCAACATCCATAATCTCGCAAAGAAAATTCTTAGGGCTCTGTATTATGATTTCATAAACGATCTTACCAAAAAATTCTCTCTCTGGCCATTATCTACGAGTGTGCAGTCAAAATCAGAGAACACCTTATATTCGAGGATGGCTCACTCTGGCTGCAAAAAGACTGCTTGTTACATGGAAACAGGGAAGAAAAAATGACCCGAATTCCAACGTGACATAATACCTTGTTATGGACATTCGAACCTATGTGTCACAGAAAACTTATGTCATTCTTAAAATTCTGTTCCAACACGTACACAGAGAGCGAACTTGTAGTTGTATTAATCCCTAACCACACGGTCCTCGAGGTTGGACGCATAATCACTGAGAAGTTTCACTTTCAACACGTAACATTAAGAGGTCAACAATGGCGAACGCAGGAACATACGTTAAATAAGATGGCATGGCTCTACCTTGCGAACGTGATCGTTCTTGCACAACTTATCTCTTTTATTCTTACTAAATATATCTTCGGCCTAAATGTGTTTATCAGAAATGCTAAACATTGTATTGCTGATTGTTATGTACGACGAGTCAGAATAGATAATGGTGTGAATTCTATGTGAGATCTTGTGGATGAGGTTTTCATATCATGACTCATCTACAATTTAAGGATCGAGTCTATTGTAATAGAAGTACTAATAACGAACGAGACCACAGTTCTACAAACGCAGTCCATTAACCACATAGAACTTGAACACCAGGACAAACTACATTGCTGATCTAGACAACACAGTTGTAAATTTTCATTTCATATGACGACAGACTGAGTGAATTTCACTCTACAGCGGTTTCATCACTGTTTATAACATACACATAGCATCATCCTAAGACTTGAATGTAGTATATTCTATCTTCTCAAGAGATATAAGTCTCATAGAACATACGCAAAGATAACCAACTAGGTGAGTGACTGAACTGAGGCAATCATATGAGCAAAGAGTTTACCGTAGACGAACAAGAGGTAATCTGATAATCTTATACAGCATCCTAGGTATATGAAGTCGCTAAAAACCATTCTTCTTAAACCTAATCGTTGTATTTCACAAAGTGACCTCCAAAAATGGCATATCTGAGAGCGAACACTCAAAAAAGCGTCATGCGTTTTCCAATTTTGAACTAGTGGCATATGTAATCCTTTGCTAACCAAAGTGACTGGTACGAGATAAAGCTTGACAACTTATATTAATTAGAAGTGGTCAAATCCACTTGCTAACTAAGAATTCTTATAAAAGTCTAACTTAAGAAAAAGAACTAAATGAGCACATCTGAACGCATAATATTTGAAATTCACAAAGAGTGAGTAATCAAGTACAAAGGGCTGATCAATTAGTACAAATATCATGCATTCACATTTTCGTCCATGGTCCACAGTTTATCTCCTATAATATTTATGTCCGAAGAATGCACGGTAATTTTTTTATCATTATCACTGTAACGATTCACACTTTTTTATCACAATGATCGTCCTATTTCTATCCACTTCTCTGTGTGTGTGTTATTATTTGTACTGTACATGTGATCAGTTTATTTACCTATTTCCACTCTTGTCTTTCCTTCATTAGTTCGCATCCTAACTTTATAATTCTCATATTACAACCGACCTACCTACTACGTGATAGCACTTTAACTTCTAGTTTCAGAAAAGCTACCGCTCAGGAAAAAACTGTGATGTTCGCATGAATTAATGATTAATTTGTACTTAGTTCCTGGTTTATTTATAATTCTAAATACAATAAATTTGTTAGTGCTAACTTGGTTCTATTTGGACTTAATTTGTACCACTTCGGAAATTCCCGGTTAATGCAATAGTTCGAATAATTCTAATCATCGTACAAACGCATGTACTTAAGCGCAAGGCGAAAATCCACAATTAATGGTTAGATTCACAAGGATTTGTCCGGCAATGTATTCAGATCGTCAACACCAGATGATACCAAAAAACCTAAAACAATACGATAGCATAAAGAAGAGAGCCGAAAAAATCATCAGGTTTACGGTGACTAGCAACAAAGATGTCACGTTTGGAATTCCAAAGGTTATTTCGCCACGGTTTAAACAAAACTGTTGGTTGTCACCACTGATATATGGGAACAGAAAGCTCTACCTCAGCGATCTTTCATTGTCTGCTACAAACGTATTCAGAATATCACAATAAGATATCACAAGTGAAAAACAGAAACCATAAACCGTAATATTTGAAACGAGATTTTCAATGACAGTTTCACTTTGGGTTGATGTAGCCACCAACTAAATGGATGGAAAAAATGACTAGAATTACCGGTCGCGATATGTTTAGTGGGCATGAAATCACTGAGGACATACTTAGCCAAAAGCTCTCTTGTTAAGAGATATCTGAGAGGCAAGGATATACGATCGAATCAGTGTCATTATTCAGTAGTGGCAATTAGTTGGAGAGAAGTAAATGTGTGAGTTCAGGCTAGAAGTAAGATAATGCAGTATACTATCAGCTATGTACTATAAGACAATTTGTAACTTTTCATAAGTAAATACTGAAAATATCTATTTACTTCACAATCGATATTACTGTGTTAACCAACTGGAAACTCAAATCAGATGTCAAGAGAACTAAATACATTCCAAAATATAAGTTTATCACAAAATCTACAAGTGATATTTTTTAAAAATTAAAACCCCTAAGTTGTCAACCTAAATTTGAAAGACTATAAACTATAACATATTCGGATCATCGAGAAGGATGGCAAGAATAAAACCACTATAGGTATATATAACTTCTCTCTCGAATATGGTTTTCTTTTTTTATTCAAAATAAGTTATTTGAAATCATGAAAGATTCTATTTACTCATACTTAGCACTTCGTTTACTATCTTATGAATCCTTTTCATATGGCCTTTCATCATCAGCCCTAAGGAATACAGAAAAACACGGATGAAAAATCGATAAAATGTAAATGTATAACTTCAATTAAATGGTTTCTAATTGTTCAAAAGGAAAACAACTCAAAATTCTTTGGATATTTACTTATAATGATAATTTCAATGTAGAGAATCTACTCTCAAATGGTTGGCGCGAATATAATTTATGAACGACCTTTAAATGAATCTTAGGTGACCTTGAGAAATATTAGTCAATCAGGAACCAGGTATTATGGAGTAATAATATATCATATAAAACGTAAGAATTGCATGGTTCAAAAACTTTTCATGGTTAGAAAGAGGTTCAGAGGTTATAAAATCGTAAGGCATACGGTAAAGGAAATCTTCCACGCCTTCTGGAGCCATGATAAGATCGCCAAATCTCTTTTGGCCTCGACCACGTAGCTTCAATATTGTTTGTGTGCACTCCGGTTGTTGAGCCCACAAAATGCCGCTTGTGAATAACGAGAAGATGCACATAATCAAGTCTATGTAGGCAACTGTAAGCTCTCCAACCATCCGTATATATTGTGGTACCGAACTGCAGCCTATGTTACTAGCGCTTTGTTATTATCCAGTTCCCAACAGATGTCATAATTTACCTTAGTCTCAATCTAGATGGAGAAAAAATCCTGTACTAGCAGACGTTTTCCTCCAACACATATAATATTGAAAGATAACATCATCACGGTAGCCTGCCCAAGGTTCACAAGTCATTTGGTTACCACAGATATCTGCTCTATTTTGATAAAATGATTTGCCCACTACTTAATTACTTACGAACTAACTTCAGCTATAATGTCTTTTGCAATTAGTCTGAACCAGGGAATATCATTAATAAGTATTAACTAAGTAACGTTCTAGCTAATTTTTCTTCTCTTTTTTCCCTTTGCTTACTTATCAGGTCAAAGATCAGTGACAGAATAGATTTTTCTTTCTTTACACTCAAGGTTGTTCAGTCACAATCTAACTCATACATTTACAAGCCCCATCTATGGACTTAGTAAATCATCATGTGTAGGCTTTAGACTAGATTTTATTTATTTATTTAAACACGCAAATACTCGTACAAGAAGGCGCCAAACAGTTATGCGCCACATAAATCATTCGATTTGTGGGACGGCTCGGATACAGCTCGGATGCAAAAACCGAAACATATGGTATTCTTAGGAGACCACACCCAGAGCCTCTGACCTAAAGGACTAACCCACAAGGCAGTGGGGCAACGTAAGGAGATACAGTCTGATGTTAACCGGTGACTAACAATAGGTTCACATGCCATTTGTTCCTTCAGGATCCTCGAGGCCATATCCACCATTGGTTTTGAACCAGGATTTCCAAACTCCTCTAGGTGGATCCTGCGTGTCCACCAACATGATTGAAGCGCCGGACATTCGCTTTCCGTCCACTCTATTTCGTAAACAACACTCGTGGTGCGAGAGGGTAGTATGACTTTTCTGTCAGTGGTTGTATGCACGTGGCCATGTGAGAGCATTTCGAGAGAGAGAAAAAGAGCGGCCTTTCCCCATTCTTGACCGTACCAGGGCATTTGGAGGCAGATTGAGACCATTCTCTCCTACGTAATAGTTCGTAAATGGATCAAAGATCTAACAGTAAATTTAATAGAATGGTTATTCATTGAATGAAAATCATGCTATAGAACTGGATTACTTTATAAGATTATGATATTTTAATCTGACAACATTAATAAACATGATCGTTGCATGGAGTAAATTATTGATTCATCCCTGGAGAGTTTGACTCAGTTTTAGTGATTCAAATATATTCAAAAGTTGTGTCAACCTGATTATAGGTGTAAAAGGCATCTCTATCTTCCACCCGTCTCTTATCCAGTTGTATACATTAATATGTGTTTAAGAAAACTAGACCACACACACACACACACAGTGAAACAACCCCATATCAACAAACAATATGTTTTTCTGTACCAATTTGAGTTTGACTCATTTCATACTATTGAGAATAAGTATATAAAATCAAGAGTTAAGTTTTTCTATCATAGCTTACCCTGGAGCGTAATTACATACAACCATATACCTGTTACCACATTTGTTTGAAGCACAGCCAATGTCTGTAGTGTTTGCCCATACTATCTACATAGATATTTGAGAAAATAAAAAATTTGCCTTTCAGCATACTAAGTATATTGTACTGAAAATAACTATTTCCAAGTTTATTAAGACTAATATAGTGTATGCTACTGATGTAGACCGGTATAAGTAGTATGTATCATTAATCGAAAGCAAAATGCCTGGTGACAGAAGGTTAAAAAGATCAAAGAGAAGAGAACGAGAACAGAGAGTGGTTGATGTGGAAACGAAAGAACAATGTAGTCTGGAACGATTAATTGACATTTTGCAAATGAAGTATTTACTGTATGGTTCTGAGATTCTGTAATTCTGTGTTCGAATACATTGGGTTGTCCTTATCGGTGTTCTCGTTCACTTCAATAATAATAATAACAGCCGGTGTATATACTACTATATGTTTTTGTTCTCAACACAAATTAATGCCGAAACCAACTTATGAGTGTTCAAAAAGCTTGTATATAAAGTTATAAACAGTGATTAGTTACATTCACTTAGTGTTGTTTTGCTTGCATCTTTCCATTGTTATTTAGGACTGCAATTGATCAGCTTCTTGTTGTCATATTGGCATCCTGTCCAGATTACGTCGATACAGCCTTAAGTCACATGCTTTTCAAGCACTCTGTAATTCAGGTACATCCGCTTGATGAGTCTCAAATAGGACGAAACGCGTTTCCTGAATTCCACTATCCATCTATGCTTGAAAAGTGATTATCATCTACCATTCAAATTCATCCATAAGTTATGATCGAATGACAACCTTTTTGGTTATATTCGAATATATGTGATGTATGAATTTTAATGAGGTAAAATTATACTATATTGATAGTCTAGCGAAAATCCTAAAGGTAACATTGAAGTAAAGGAATCAGAGACTGGGAAACTGAACTTGAAAACATGGTATTCTTCAATACAACTGCTGTTAGGCTGACTAGGATGTTATGTTTATGGTATTAGAGCTTAGAAGTTATGGTTTAGAGTCAGGATGTTAACTTTGATTGTTTTGGTATAAAAATGACTAACTCTACCAACTTAATCTTAACCCTAAAACAGACTATTGCACTTCATTTTCACATTTACATCTGAAGTTCTGTAAGTAGACCACAACAATATCATTATCCAAATGGTACAAAATACAAAATCTAGCCAAAAATATTACTTCCAGAAACAAGCTATACTCAATGATGTTTCAAATTCGCTTTTATATTTAAAGTCATTCATGTGTAATCTGATTGGTCATTTAAAGCTATTAGTATGATATAGCTTAACCTTACATGATTATCGCCTCTTATCTATATAAAAGGACAGAGAAGGAAAAGAATAGAGGAACCATTGAAGTAGTACTTCTTAAGTTTTTCAATAGCTAGAATCTTGATGAAAACCCTAAATATATCGACTTTAAATTTCATGTGCAAATTATGACATGTAGTGTTAGTTAAACAAATTGGTCAGTATACTTGTGTTATAATCTCTCTTACTACAACCTAGCTACTCTTATTGCTTAGTATTCTTGGACACTACGTTACTGGAAAAGTCCCCAAATCAGAACACGGTCTCAAAACGGACGAAACGCACGTCCTGAATTCCACTGTTAGCCACTTTCCATCTTTGCTTATAGTTGACACAATGGTTTATTGATCACAGAACTCAGCTTTGAATTGCAACACACACACACAATATACGCGACTAAAATTCGAGTTTCAAATAAATAAGATCCATTACTAATAATTTTCTCGAACTATTAAATCTGCATGATTTGTGAGAATCCAAAATATACTCCACTGTTTAAATCATGAATTGATTCTGACAGTTGTTTCAGTCAAGTATCTATTAATCATTAACCTCCTTTATTTAGAGTTTAAGAGTTCATGCGTCAGATCAAACTTCCTGGGTTCGATCCCTTGTGTTGGGGTCGTGGATATACCCTAATAAGGAGTATCGTATTAGAAAACAAAACAACTATCCAGTGCTTCCTGGTTCTCAGTGGTAACCCAGTCAATATTAGTTCGTAATGAAAATTGTGAAAACTTTACAATCTTCACAAAACCCTAAACTGAAACAACATACTTGTTTATAATTTCCACATTCTTCTTCACATGTATTCTTCTCGAAATTATAATCATTTTTTTCTTCCAACCAAGTATCCAGTATACTGAAATTTAAAAAAATCAATAATGTAAGAAGTCAGAGAAAGGTTTTTGTGGATATTATAGTAATTTAATGGTTGAATTCATGAGTCAATTGAAGCTAGACCACCATGAAAAACATAGAACTACTGAACAGCCATTTCGTCTTAGTATGGGACTCCTCAGAATTGCTCATCCATGATCCCACCTTGCGCGCGAGGCTGATAGGTCCTGGGTTCGAATCTCGCTGGGGGCGGGATCATGGATGCCTATTGCTGAGGAGTCCCACGCTAGGACAAAACAGCCGTCCAGTGCTTCCTAGGTTTTTCATGGTGGTTTAGCTTCAATTGACTCATGAATTCAACTATTATCTGTAAGAAATGTTTGACCAAAACTCATCATAAACATCCAAGCTAATTAGTACTATTTGAATTAATTTAAGTGGGTTTAAACCTAAGGTGTAATGATTGCAGCTGGACTACTTCATAAGGAGTGACTATAGTCACGTTTTATCATCACAAGCCTTCAATCCCCTACCCTTAACTTTAACATTCACATGATGGAAAGGAAAGTCGATTTTCGATTGATTTACTCATTATGAGTTTTATTCAACATTCAACATCCGTTTTGATTCAACATGAGGATCATTCAGTGTAGTATTTATTACTGTTATCCCAGTATGATATTTTCTTCTGTATAATATACGAGATATTCTTGTATTCACTTGATATGAACTATGCTCAGTAAGTGATTTGTTATAACTAAGTATGTGATGTAATCCTAATTATTAATCAAAATGGGTGTAAAATCAATGCATAAACCAGTGTATTTTAGACTATTGGGATTCGTCGTCGTCGTCGTTATAGTGTTTGGGGCTGATAAATCTTCACTTTTACTAGTCTTGTGTTCTTACTTTCATATCGTGGGAATTGCCGAGGTCCCTTGTTCCGAATATAAGTGATCAGCATTATTTTCCGGCACAGTAATTAGCGACGATCAAATATTAACAAACATAAACATCAAAAATAAAACTGAAATATGAAAAACAGTTCTAGATATCTTATAAAATGTTAATATTTGTACACAATTTACTTTTGTATTGTAGTATGTTCTGCTACAGTTTGTCCAACAGAATCAAATTTACCAACGTATAAATCTCCAAGATTTCCACTATCCAATATACATTTTTTAACATGATCTTTAGCTTTTTCAGCTAAAAGTTCATTCCATTTCTTAAAATTCAAGTAAATAATATTAATATTTTAAACAAAGTTAGCTTCAACTGACTCATGATCTAAACCATTGAAATTACTATAATATCCACAAAAGACCCTATCTGATATTAATCAACATATGCTCACTAGTGACTGGCTTCATGTGGTATATCCTGGAGTTCTAGTGAGAAGTAGTGACCAATGGAGTTCAACTAGGTCTGTTGTGAGATAGTAACTCACTGAAGACAATGGTGGATGTGTCGTTCAATTTCGTGGATTAGTTGAAGTTAGACATTAACACTGTTGGATGCCGGCCAGTTCAGTGGTCTAGTGGTTAAGTGCTCACAGGGGGCGAGGTCGTGGATGAGCACTGCTGAGGAGTCCCACAAAGTTATTTCAACTAGATATGTAATACAGTAATTATGTAATTTAATGTAATCATTGTTATAATGGATCAATCAGAAACCAGCGAACGATACTTGCTCGTGATTGGTCAAACATAGTTTCTATATTACAATTGATTGATCACTGGGTGGTGATCAATGTCATGTGTGTCAAGTCCTTATTTAGTGCAGATCGAATGCTATCTATCATGTTGCAGTGTGGCCACCAGTAACGTCTCTGACTGTGAAGCTGGGTGACACGAGATCGAATCCGCCAGGGAGCACCAGTTCCCTCAAGATTACAAGTACACCTTGCTGACGAGTGGCAAGTAGCACGAAATCCGTGTCCAGGGTTTCCTGTCGACTATCTCCAACCACCATCTAATCTCAATAGTTTCTAGATTCAAGAAATAAAATACAAACCACTGATAATATTAATCTTTCACAGATATGATTCAATTTTAGCCTAGTAAACTTGCTTTCTGGCTTTCGCTTTCCTCTCTAGTAACCGGGATCGTTAATAGAAAAGTGTTTATCAGTATCAAACCGTGGACATCATGTGTCGTTACAGTAATCCCTTAAACGAATCAAAATGTAATCTGTCTAATAAATACATAAACTAAAGTTATAAAAATATCATTTTACAAATGCGGGTTAAATCTAAATAGTCTGATTCAAAGCGCTTCCTGCATATCATAGTACATCATTCTTTACTTCATTTCCTTTGCTTTAAGTATCATTATAAGTTCTTAAAAGTTTGATTTTTCATATGGCTGGTTTCATTATCTTTAGTCTTCACATCGTTCCAGTGCCAGTTCTAAAGACAATTCTGTACTTTAAGAACTTAGAGAAATCACAAAAAACTGATCCTCATGAGTAAGAAAAGTGATCTAACATAGTGATCAAAGCACGGGTTAGGAACGTCCAGATAATCAGCAATGAATGTACAATCACATTTATCGTGTTTCAGCAGCAAATAATATATGAAACACAAATTCGTTCGATTAGCAGCTAAATATAGACAAGTCCCAAAGTTCACACTGACTCAAGGTGCTTAACATTTAAGCGAAAGAGAATTATTCTTTTATTTAGCTAAATTCATAACTAACAAACATAGTAGCTCAATCCACGTATTCATTTGACACAGAATGTTTAGTAAGCTACCAAGCATCTGTGGTTTGAGACTTTATATCAAGATCTGAAATACAATTGAACTGCAGAAATTTAAGTTTCTTAGTGAACATGATACATTTAAATTTAACAGTTCACATCTGTAAACATTTATCTAAAGGCCTTTGACGTTATAGCATCATTCAGGTCCTGTTAGTACATAATAAAAAATCTCATCAATTATCAACTTAAAGCCTATCTGATTAGTGCAAATCATGAATGTTTAACATTACGATCAAGACGTTTTGCTATTTAATCAAAAGCCCCCAAATGCCGTGGTATGGTCGCTTTCCCTCTTGAAATGCTCTCAAGTGACCACGTGCATACAACCACTGTCAGGGAAGTCCTATTCACTGCCTTCTCGTGGCATTACTGTTGTTTACAAAACTGAGAGAACAAAAAGCAAATGTCCGGCGCTTTAACCTGGTCGGCGGACATAGAGAGTCCATCTAGGGATGTTGGAAAATCCTGACCCCAAACTGATGGTGTACATAGTTCCAGGATTCTGAGAGAGAAAAAAGTGTATGAACAAATCGTTAGTCACCGGTTACCAAGGGACTGTATCTCCTTAAGTTGCTCCAGTGCATTGTGCATTAGACCTTTATGTAGAAGGCTCCGAGTGTGTTTCCCCAACAAAATCACCTTTTTCGGTTTAGGTACCCGGACAGTATCACCGACAACTACTAGAAAAATACTATAAAACTTCACTTCATTCAATATTGTGACTAATAAAGATGAGTAAATGTTGATTAAACTATTGTAATCCTTTCAGAATGAATCCATGAAGTCTTAGTGAAGAGTAATTACTAATTATAGAATTCAAACATATTGATAGTTTGATTAAAATTATTAATCGATTAATGTCAGAAAACTGTCGTTTTATCCTTGTATGGAACTTCTCAACGGCACTTCTCAACGATCCTGCAAACAAGAATCGATCTAAGAACTTTCAGTCATCTGTATAAGGTGAGATGATACTCCAATAAATAAGATTGGATAATGTTAAAATATATCATGAACTGATTGACTTTAAAAATAAACATAGTCGTTTAAAAAAAACTCTTTTTTTACAAAAGCTTAATGTTCTGAGAGCAATCTCAAGTGAAATCAGCAATACACACATAGATAAGAAGGCTTATACCGAACTTTGGACCTTCGGTCTCGCGCGTAAATGTCTGACTTCTAGAACAATGAGCCAACATACAACCGTGTCAATTCCCACTAGTCACTGGCTTCAGGATGGATTTCCTCGAATTCTAATGAGAAGCCGTTGCCAGTGGATTCTAATCCGTGTCCGATAGAGACAGGTATCTACCACGGACAATAGATGAAGGGTTACGCAATATTATGGATTGATTGAAGTTGAAAATTTCCACAATTGAATGTTGACTCAGTGATCTCTATATTAAGCATTCGCAAGAGAGACTAACAGACCACTGAGCGGACATTCAACAGTTCAAATGTTCAACTTCAATCAATCCATAATGTTGCGCAACCTTTCATCTATTGTCCAAGATAGATAACTATGTCTATCTGACACGTATCAGAATCCACTGACGACAGCTTCTCACCAAGATTCCGAAAAATCCATCTTGAATTTAGTCACTAGCCACAATCAACACCATTAGATGCCAGTTCAACTGCCCAATTCACTCTATTATCCATTGATCCATCACATAACATCCAACTTCTATTTGAACCAATTTCCAAAAAATCTTCCAACTATAATCATATTTCCTTTTTATGTTAATTGTAAGAATGAAAAATGCTGATAAGTAACCTATACTCCCCCATTAGGGAGTAAAAGGCATTAGTAACTAAGTATCCAAACAATAACTTACAAGTTTAGGCATCTTTTTCGCTTTAGGTTGATCCGATAAAACACCTTTCAGTACATCTTTTCGTACCTTATTATGAAATCGAAAAATCATCTCCTTTGATGATTTCTCTGTATTTATCATTAAGATATTGAATAAGAATAATAAACAAATTTTATAAGTCAATTGAATCATTGAATTGAATATCAAATAATCATTGAATAAAAAAAACGAAAAATTTATACAAAATTTTTTTTATTTATTTATTGAAAAATCAATAAATTTTGACACGTTTTTTTGTGTGGTTTTTTGATTGTTTTTTAATTAGTAACAACATGTCATTAATCCAACATTAAATCTCCCTACCTTCCTCTCTTTCTCTTTCTCTCTCTCACTCTCTCTCTCTTTTTATATATATGATTATGTAATAAATTATAGAATATCCTCATTATTGGATAATTAATAAAAGGGGTTCTTATGAATATTATAAGTCATTTAAATCGTTGAGATCATGAGTCAATCAAAGGTAAATCGCTATTGCGATCATGGAAGTACTAGATGGCTTAGATAGTGGTTGGAGGTAGTCGACAGGAAACCCTGGACCCGGGTTTCGTGCTACTTGGTACTCGTCCGCAAGGTGTACTTGTTATCTTGAGGGAGATGATGCTCCCTGACGGACTCGATCTCGGATAGCTCAGTGGTAACGTCTCTGACTGTGAAGTTGGGTGACACAGGATCAAATCCGTCAGGGAGCACTATTTCCCTCAGGATTACAAGTACGTTTTGCGGACGAGTGCCAAGTAGAACGAAACCCGGGTCCAAGGTTTTCTGTCGACCACCATCTAATCTCACAATAATGCACGCAGTGTCGAATCATCTAGGCTGGTGGCCACATTGCATCATGGTCGATAGGATTCGATCTGCACTTAAAAGGACTAGATACGCTATTTTATTTTAGTATGAGACTCGCCAACATTAAAAATCTCCACAAAACCCTCTTTTAATAATAATTATCATATTCTCACTAATGACTGAATTCATGAGATATTTCTTAGAGTTCTAGTGAAAAGCCGTGAATGATGGAGTTCAACTGCGTCTGTTGTGAGATAGTAACTCACTGAAGACTATGGTAGATGTGTCGCTCGATTTGTTGGGTTCGTTGAAGTTAGACATTAACACCTCTGGATATCCGCTCAGTTGGTCTAGAAATTAAGTATTCACAAGCAAGAGCGATAGGTTCTGGGTTCGAATCTTGCAGGGTGGGATCATGGATGTGCACTGCTGAGGAGCCCCATATTGGGACGAAACGGCCGTATTTTTTCCATGGTGTTCTAGTTTTAAGTAACTCATGAATTCAACTGTTAAGTGTACAATGTACTGATGAACTTAGTCGACTTATCAGCCATTTGGTTGACGCTGCCTAGTTATAAAACTATTAACAATGCAACGCAATAAAATAACGTTTGGATAATAGCTTTGATCGGAATAATTAACTCTCACATGTCATGTTTAATTATACCCTTGTCCCTTCACATGGTGAACTAATAAGATGCGTTGGGTATTATGATATTATCAATAAAATAATAGATCTTGGATTTTATTACAATTCAGTTAGTTGTCACTTTGTCATCTCACTAAATCTTAGGCACTTGTCCTAAGTTATTTTGTTATTTTTCAGTAAGAATGAATGAACTGATTGCAAATCATAAAATACATGTTAACGATATTTTAATAGTTGAATCTATGAGTCGATCTATGCTAGATCACCATTAGAAGCCTGGAGACACTTGACGGCAGTTTCATTCCATTATGGAACTACTTATCTGTGTGCATCCACAATCCCGCATGCAGGTCTCGAACTCGAGACCATCGGTCTCGCGGGTGAATGCTTAACCCGTAGACCACTGAGCCGACATCTAACGGTACAAATGTTCAACTTCAATCAATCCACAATATTGCGTAACCCTTCATCTATTGTCCGTGGTAGATACCTGTCTCTATCGGACACGGATTAGAATCCACTGGCAACGGCCTCTCATTAGAATTCGAGGAAATCCATCTTGAAGCCAGCCACTAGTGTGAATTAACACCGTTGTATGTTGGCTCATTGGTCTAGAGGTCAGACGTTTGCACGCGAGAGCAGGATCATGGACACGCACTGTTGAGCAGTCCCATACTCGGATGAAACAGTCATCCTGTGCTTACCACAATCTCCACATACCCCGCATTCTAACAATTACCGACATTTGTTATGTGTTCCCAGTAAAAAGGTAGTATGTTTAGGAAACACAGTTTTCCTCCAACTTCCTTACCAAAACCAAACCTATTTCATTGTCATAGAAAAGCAATAAACAATAAGAATGATTGATTGTTGCATTTAACCGTTATTATACATCGATAAACCCATTATTATAACAGATCCTTTTTTTCCATAGTAGTTAATGAAATTGAATGGAACTAGAAAAGAAGGCTTAGGACAGAGAGGGTTGGAGAATGCTGGCCGATGGCCTATGCTCCATTAGGAGTAACAGGCGTAAGTAAGTAAGTAAGTTCTTCAACTACTTCCTGGAAATTAAGCCCGAATTGACAAGTAAACAATCTTTCACTTTCAACTCATAATCAGTAACATTTAATCATTGATAATGATTATACAGAAATCGAACTATGCCCTATATATAACCTGTCATTGTCATATATATATTGTATAAATATGCTAATTATGAATTCCTCTCATCAAATATGTTTAAGATGAGTCTAATTAGCTATTTACTATTATTATTCACATTTCTATATGTGGAAACAAAGTTATCCGGAGAACTACGTGAAATCTATCAATTTCATAAACGAGTTCGTAAAGATGTAAAAAATTGTAAGATACCTGGTCAACCTCCAGCTGTAAAACTAGCAAAAATGGTAAGTCGATATTGATCGATCTGTAAATAGAGCTTTCTGTTTCATGTAAGTACTTAATCATTTCATGAACATGAACTGTTGAATAAAATCAAAATCTACAGACATGATTTACTTCCTATTCATCCTTTTCATGTCTGTTTCAGTTCCTGATGTAGTGTGTTATTCGGCATTCCGCTTTTCCCTTTTCCTACATGATTCCAAGTTAGCGCTTACTTCCTGATACAGTTTGGTGATCTCCACAATGTATGTCCTATCCATTTCCATAATCTTTTCCTAATTTCCTCTTCAACTGGAAGTTGATTTGTCCTCTCTCATGGTAGGTTGTTACTGATGGTATCCGGCCAACGGATATTGAGTATCTTGTTTTTTCTTGATAATCATAGTGATCGTTCTCCACATTTCAGCTCCGTACAGTAGAAATGATTTGACATTCGTAACGGAGCTTGTGACATTGATATTGGTTGAAACAGAGAGGTTTTTTTAGTTGTATATGTTGTTCATTTGTAGGAATACTTCACCAATCCGTGCCTTCACATCTGCATCAGATCCTCCACGTTCATTAATGATACTATCCAGATACGTGAATGTTTCCACCTCTTCCAAAGTTTCTCCATCGAGTGTGATTGCGTTGATATTCTCCGTGTTATATTTGAGGATGTTGCTTTTTCCTTTGTATATGTTTAGGTCTACTGATGCAGAGGTTCCTGCTACACTGTTTATTTTGACCTGCATTTGTTTGTGTGTATGGGATAGAAGGGTCAGGTTATCTGCAAAGTGCAAATCGTCTAGTGGCATTCAACCATTCCATTGTATTTCTTGCTTCCCTTCAGATATCGAGGTCTTCATAATCTAGTCAACCATCAGAAGAAAAAGAAAGATGGATAGCATTAATTTAATCGGATTATAATGAAATTAATGGCATACACACATAGGCCATCCCTACTATCCGACCACAGTTTAGTCGAACTGATTACATCATATTCTTATTTATAGAATAAGTAAAACGTTCTATAAAATGATCCATAAGTAATAAGCCCCTTTACTTATTTCCATTCGATTTTCTCATTATTATCTTATTAAATACATCGTATTCTATACAGTTTTTATAATCTATTATTCTCAAGAAATGGAATAAACTTCTAGCTGACAAAGCCAAACAACAAGCTAAACGATGTCAATATGATTCAAATGATCCAAATGATTTTATTATTGGTGATTTTGAATCCATTGGACAAAATCTAGGCGATTATTCAACAATTGAAAGGTAGATTTATAATTATGCAATATGATTTAACTCTATTACATTTTATAGGGCAATGAAAGATTGGTTAGAAGAACATAAAAATTATGATTTTAAAACGAATACATGCAATGGAGATTGTAAAAATTATAAGCAGGTTTGTTTTAATTATTACTAAATCACATACATTTATTGATCTAGAAGTTAGGTATTCGTGTACGAGACCGAAGGTCCTAGGTTCGAGTCCTCTTTGCCAACAACACCACCCCATTTACATTTAGTATAGTTGTATATATATATATATATATATATATATATATATATATATATACTAGGCAAACAAGTCTGTACAACACAACTTCGTCAGGGCTGTCCGCTCTCTCCATTCTTGTTTAAATTTATCGCAGATGTGCTATTAGAGATGACACTTTCCTCATCTAAATTTCCAAGAGCTGAACTTTTACTGGGAGATTCACTTGTTGACTTAGAATATCCCGATGACATAGTTCTATTTGGTAAAGTCGTTGACAAATTACATAGTGTTCTGACCACCGTAGGCAACAATGCAAGCATGTTGAAGATGCGGTTCTCCCTCTAGAAATGCAAAATGTTACTTCAGGATTGGGTTGCATCGACGCCCAAACTAATGATAGGAAGTGAAGTAGTTGAGCATGTCAACCGCTTCACTTATCTTGGGAGTCTCATCAACGCTTGTGGTCTGGTGTGTGACAAAATCTCAACACGGATACAGAAGACTCGACTAGCTTTTGCCAACTTGCGTCATTTATGGAGTAGGCGAGATATCGGTTGTTACTGACTAAGTGACTTTAAAAATTGGTTGAGCGCTTTATTTAGTATCTGATCACATTTCTACACTATACTTCTGTTTTCAACCCTCTTTTATAACCACTATTTATAAATAAGTTTACCGGCGTTAAAACCGACAGCTATTAACTAAAGGTAGTGTACCTCAATAAGTCATTCTTTCCTTTTTTTCCCCTTTTCTCCTTTCTCCATGATCACATATGTTCCACAAAAAGCACTTTTGTTAGCTAGGTGGACGATCTCAACACAAGTATACCAATCTGTTCCTCTTTAGATCCCCTTGAAATTAATTAGTTCTTGTCACTCAGAGAGCAATGATCTATTTCTAACGGTCTCACATTTAATCTTAAATACTAAACTGTAAATTTTCACCTGAGAAAATGAAGCCTACTTAAACACTGTGTTAGAATCTCCTTTAGTTTATACTATTCGACATTCAGTAATTAAAAAACTATGTCAAATGGCATTTATTTTGTTGTTAGCTTCCCCTCTGATCTCAATATCGAAAGTTTTCCATCTGATTTACTGTATGAAGAGGCTATGTGCTTTTGATATTTTTCAATAGTTACTTTTACGATTTGTAAACTAATGTATATTGCAAATTATTCTTTTGATGAGGTATTATTCTTTGAACTGGATGGTTTGGTCGTGAGGCTTTCACAGTCATTGTCAACGACGTCATCAGCCCAAGAACCAAATCAATGAGAGATACAATCAAAATAAAGAAGTAAACAATGATAGGTTTGAGATTAACAATCACCAATGAAGATCGAGGTCTACATGACAAATCGGGAGTCATATGTTGAGAAATTCCAACAATTCATTTCTGCTTGAAGTTGGTGCTGATAATGTTGTTCAGAAGAACGACGAAATCTCCACAATCAGACCATCTAGCTCAGAGAACAAAACTGCACCAAAATCATCCACCTGATATACAAATCTTCCCCACCATCTCAATATTATTATTTACTCTTCCCGATTATTCCTTCCTGGGCTTTTGATGAAAAGGTTCGCTGTGTTCCCCATAGTAGTACTGAAGTCGGTTAGTAAGATATGTGGTGAAACTTTTGATCTCTCTATGAATGTGGTTGTGGACAGACATTTGACATCTTCTAAACTATTATCAATCGTTACTTTATGTCCTTCCAATTTTTCAGATGGTTTGGAATACCACTGAAGCAATAGGCTGCGGTTACGAAAAGTGTGGAAAGAATTATTTGATTGTTTGTAATTATGCACCAGGGTAAGTGATTTTCCAATAATAAGTTAATAATCATTGTGTTAGGTTCGTTTTTTAAATTTATAATCACAATGATGTCGTTTCTACCGAATGTTAAATGGAAGAGAGAGAGAGAGGGAGGGAGGGAGGGAGAAATCCGATCACCGTCTAGTCTTTCTTTACATTAATAATATATTGGAAGAGTTTTCTGATCTACATGATGCTTAGAAAGGGTTTGAATCAGACTGTTATTGATATCCAGTTGTATTTAGCATATGTGGATCTTCTGTGGATTGCCTCAGTATTGTCATTGTTACATATTTATTGTGACTGGAATTGAAATCTAAGAAACACGTTTCATCTTATTTGGTACCCGTCGTCTGGATATACCTGCATCTCAATGTCGATGTTCACGCTAGAATTCGAACTCAGCACTGTTCGCTGTTAACAACAACATACTATCCACTGAGCCACATAGTCTAGATAAACATTAGGATGTTAATTCTTAATTGACACTATTTGAAATATTCCTTGATGTTAATCAATGGCAAATCAATGAATGATAACAATAACTACGAAATTAGTGGGTGTTCTTTCTAAGCTTCATACTAAAATCTCACTCTTCATGCGATGATTAGAGCAACAAAACCATCATTTAAAATCGATAAGAATCTAACAGTACCAAATACTTGTCAAAAAGTATTGACGTAATCATGAATTATCCCCTATCACTGGTTAGTGATCAATGTTATGTATGTTAGGTACTTTTTAGTGCAGACCGAATCTTATCGACCAAACTGCAATATGGTCACTAGTCTAGGTAACTCTACATTGTGTGCACTATGCTGAGATACGATGGTTACCACTAACTGCGAATCTGGGTAACATGGGATCGAATTTGTCAGAGAGCATCAGTTCCATCAAGATTACAGGTACACCTTGCTGACGAGACGACGAAACCAAGATTCAGGGTTTCCTGTTGACTACCTCTAACTACCATCTTACAAGAAAGCAACCCAATAATGACGATCCCTTTGATGAACTTCACTGAAATCTATTATGTAAAATGATAACATCTTCGGTTTTTACCGATAACCTTGAAACACTTTTCATTCTGGAAGGGTTAACAGTTACAAAGTAAGGGAAAAAATTCACTTGCTGTTCTTTGATTGTATCTTCTTATTGTTGTTTAGGATTGCAATTGATCAGTCTCTTATTAACGTGTGTAGATCCTGTGTGGACTACCTCGATATTACCTTAATTCATCAACTTTATAATTAACGATGGATAGTGACTAGCAGTGGGATTTAGGACACTCATTTCATTCTATTTCTGAATCATCAGTTGATTGTACCTGTATCTCAAAGTTGATATTCACTCCGGGATTCGAACTCAATACCGTTCAGTTCAAACGCCATTGCTCTATCCATTCAGCTACTGAGTCCTGAAGCGAACGGTACTGCGTTCGAGTCCCGGAGTGAATATCCATGTTGAGATATAGGTACATGCAGTTGACGAGTCTCAAATAGGACGAAACATGTGTCTTGGATAATTTTGTAAATTGTGATGTTTGCTTATATATTTTACTTTTTAGTGATTCTGAAGAAAGACCGTATGAGGCTAAATCAGAAAGTGAATGTAATAAATCAGAATAAAATTTGTGAAGCAACTTAGATCTTATTCATATGTAATTGACAAAATATACGCCTTTCAATGGATTATTAATTTTGTTTATTTAACTTCTCTTACAATGATAATAATGATGAACGTATATTATACAAGATAGACATTGAAAATCTACTTACTTACTTACGCCTGTTACTCCTCGTGGAAGAGCATAGGCCACCTACCAGAACTTTCAATCCAACCATCTCCTCGACAATCGTTTGGAGCTCTTTCCAGTTATTATTCATTCTTTTCATATCTGCTTCTATTTCCCGACCTAATGTGTTCTTTGGTTTTCCAATTTTCCTCTTCCCT